TGGTGGCGGTGGAGGTGGTGGCGGAGGATACTGACCAACAGCAGGACCAGCCTTCATCTTCTCCAACATTACCCTCATCATGGTCATGTTCGCCAGCCGATTTACCTCAAGAGCATCCTCTGTGGCCCTCTGGTTCGCTTCTCTAGCGGCTTCCATCATTGCCACGTTGGCCAATCTAGTGGCCTCCTGCATCTCAACCAATGCAGTCAGGATTGGGTCGGGTTGACCCTCAACAGTCTCACGAATTCTCCTGGATCCTACCATGACTCTGCACAAGTTACACAAATTATGAGTTGATCAGGCCAACGTAATGTGATCACATATGCATCATCATAATAAGACTCAATGGAGAAAACACACAAGACAGACACAACCAAGCATCCTAGTTATTGCAATACATACAGGCTTTTCCCTCGAACCATTGCTCTGATACCATAAAATGTAACACCCCGTATATATCTGGTATGTTATCATATCATCTTATTAAGCTGCGGTTAATTAAAAATGCGAAATATCTTTTTCCTTTCAATTATGATGTCATTAATCATTACCAACTTGCTTACTTAATCATTTAGTAAAAGATTGCCTGTATGTAAACTGCAAGGGACATCTAACTGAAATACCTCATTAAATTAACAACATAAATATGTCTCTAGTCACGGAACTACAACACGTAGACCGGACAACCCTGATAGTTTATAGAACTCAATTAAACTTAAACATAACAGAAATCAAAGTGGCATAGACAAACCCATGCTCACCTAAATAAGGCACAAGCCCAACAGCAGTCTCGACATCAGCAACATAATAAAAGCAATCTAAAACATAACATCAGCAGATATATCCAGGATCCAACCATGTCAGCATATAAACAGTAATATCATCAATTAAGCTCCAGCCTCCTGCCGCCAAAGGCATCAGCCCCCAAGTTACCTGAACCTGAAATAAGCGTCCCAAAACGTGGGGTGAGATCTCTAAACAAGAAATCTCAGTAAGACAAGGGGTCCTCACAGATCTTCCACCTCAAGCTCACTTACATGTGCAATATAAGTTCAAAAGCAGTTTATCAACATTATTTCCAAAATAGTGCAAAATGGCAGATAAACATGTCATGTGTGTCAATGCTATAATCTACTGGCCAGAGAAATGCAGGAATACGTCTATTACCCACACAGTACGCGCCCTGTCGTACCTACCCTTAGGATCTCATCCCATCGGGTGAACACCACATACATATCATAAGCATTTGTACTTAACAACTCAAAAGCATTTCAAATATGAAAGCATGTAACACAACATGCATATAACCATACCCCCATGGGACATGGTGGAACCAACAATGGCTAAACCGAGGACACGAAAGCTTACCTTGCAAGCTAACAATCCAAGCCAAGAGTCCAACCAATGATCAAAGTCCAAACACAGCAGAATCACAATCTGATTTGGACTAGCAATCATATCAATAAACAAAGCTCATAAGCATAAACATAAAGACAACGTTTCTCTTTTACGTGTCATGTCTTTAGGCTTCTCACAAAGCCACAAGCCCTTAATCGCTTAGATTCTGACTTAGCTAAATATTACAGAAGTTCAACTTCCTCAAACTAGGGTCCACAAACCCCCAATAGCTTTCTGTATGAACAGTGCAGCTACTGTTCTTCGAAAACCCAGAATATTCGGATATATGTCGGGAGCATATCTGGATATCTTTATGCTAATATCCTGATATCAATATCCGGATATCCAGATCCCCATATCCGGATATCAATATCCGGATACCATATCCGGATATTTCGCGACAGAATGCAGTTCTGCATTTCGCGAGATATCCCTCCCAAAGATGGTTCATTTCATGCATACAGAAGCTTAAACATACGATTTAAGGTGTGTTTAACATTACCCAACGTAAGGTTATGATCATAGGTTCATTACATGCATCAAGGTTCCATTTTTATCCATATAAACTCATGATCAAGGTGGTAAGGCTTACCAAGGTTCAAAACAGCAAAGCAAAGGCTCAAGGAGCTCACCAATCTGCCTCTACAGTTCTGACTTTCAAGGCACACGAAAATGGCACACCAAATGTTGGTTCTTGCACAAAAAATGACTCCTTGGCACTACAAATACCAAGCATAAGATCCACACCCTCTCCAAACTCAAAGTCAGCACCTCACTCTTACACAACTGACCCTCTAACTCAGAAACAAGGCCACCAACACCCTCCCAATGCTCACTCTCACTCACTACAAGTGTTTAGGTGGAGATTCCAAGGAAGAAATGACCTCAAGGCTCAAGAAATGGAGAAGAGACAATGGAACAGTGCTCAAACTGACCAGCCACCAAAAACTCACGTAGGATAAGTGTTATGGCCTAGGGTTTAGTGCCAAAGGTAGTATATATAGCCACTTAAGTTTTAATCACACTGTATTAGCGCTAAATGCTACGCTTAGCATTTTAATCCCAAACTTAGATTCAGAACCTACTCAATTTTACAAGATTTATCATAATTTTATTTATTTTTTCGCAGCACCTTTCCAGTACACGCTTTTCCATAGCCAGTATCAGTTCTGGCACCAGTTCTCAATATTTTAACTTGAAACTTGAAATCACAGTCCTACATATTATTCTAGAAATATTCATGCACTTATTATAATTTTCCGGGATACTTCATCGGTATCAGCACTTTTCGTCCAAAAAGCTGACTTTCAGCATTAAAAATCACTTACCATATTTATTTAAGCCTCATAATAATTATTAGGGTCAATTATGGAATTATTTCCTAATTTCACATAATTAATTAATTAATTTCCTTAATTAACGGTGCGGTTTCTTACATGATGCTGGAGCGGCGGGCAAGAAACCCGTAGGATGAGTCGTTGGAGGACTTTATACTTTTTGCATTTTGATGGCCATTGGGCCTAGGCTAGACTTAGGGCATGAACATTGTATATGTTGTTAGGATGAGATTTATGTCATATTTGTTCATGCTATTTTGCTTAAGTCTAGATACATGTAGTTTATGACATTTGGAGACTTATGAATTATGTTGTAATTTGGAGAATTCTAAATATTGTATTTGGATCTTGTGTAATGTGAAGCATATGTAATATGATGAAAGGGCAATAGGCCTATTTTAGGATTATGATTATGTGTATGATTAGCAAATGTATGCAATTGGACTTTGATGATTGAAACGTATTAAGTATTAATAAAGGAAGCAATGTCATACGTATTGTATAAGTAAGATAAACTGTGATGGGTTGTAAGTGCCCTAAGGCATTGTTTGTCCTTGTGCGTGCCACCCAATGATTATTAGGTACATTTGAGGTCTAGATCACATTAGCAAATTTGGGGATTTTTGTAAAATCAAAGGAAACTCTGGCGAAATTTCTAGAAATTGGCATAATTTAGGCGAACTTCCGGAGAGCATATCTTCCTCCACATAGGTCCGATAGGGACGTGCCATACGCCATTTTGAAGCTTGAGATGTCATATATCTTGTGGTAAAATTTGGTAAAATTATGGGTTGGACGTCGGCTTGTAGAAGGAAGAGAGTGCAGACTGCCCATTTGCTCACTGCACAGGTGGCAGTTCTGGACCGATTTTGAGAAATTTATTCCCGCTTCGTTACTTGGTCAAATTAGGTGTATGATATATAAAATTGAAGCTTGAGGTGTCTAGTTTGTTGTATAAAAATTTTAGAGCATTTGATTGATTGGATTTTCTGAAGTAATTCGTGGAGTGAAAGATGTTGAGAGCTGTTTTGGGGTTGATTGGCAGTTTTACTTGTCCAACTTCAAACGGCGATATCCGGAGCAAACGAGCTCTAAATAACTCGTGTGATAGCTTCCTAGAAAGGTAGTTGAGTGTAGAATAACACATCAAAATATGGGAGACTTGTAGAATGTGGTTTATCCGCAGAAAATTAAAGACCGAACCATGTTCGAAAGAGTAGAAAACGTAAAAGTGAAAATTATGCTAAGTGGATTTATGGGAACCCCTTAGTGACTTGTAGTAAGTAAAATAAGTTATAAAAGTAGTCTAAATAAGTATTCCGTAAAGAGTTTACAGTTACGGTCACAACTTTTAATCATTACGCTCTTTATTGTTTTAAATACTCGCGTAATAACGGAATAAGTTTACTCGCATTTATATAAATGAATTGTTGTGATTGTAACTGCGCTTAATATCATAATTAATGTTAACAATACCGGTGTACAACGGGCTGTTACAAGTTATACCTACAAAACACTCAGATACTCAAGTCAAATTTTGTATAAACAAGTTATATAGAAGATCATGATTAGCTTGTGTTTAGAACATTGATATTTATAATGGGGGATGACCAGTTTTGGTATCCCCTTAATTGTTCCCAGCAAGTGGGTGAGATGACAAAATTTTCCTATTTGTTGTAGGTGTAAATGGCTTGAGATGTGATTGCTAAAAATATCAGTGCAACTATTGTTGACTAAGAAATATTCTTGAATATTTTCTTTATAATGATGTATTTATATGTGGACCGTTAGATATTTTGTGTACAAAACTTAATATATCATTCCAAAACATATAGCAAAAAATGTAAATAAGAAGAATGCATAAGCGATTTTTTTTTTTTTCAACTAGTGATACATATATAGACATAGAAAACTAGTAGTTATGAATTTGGAATAGTTTTTCACACTTTGAATGGTGGGATAAATTTCCAACACTATGTAGCAATAATGACATTTACTAAAATTAGAAAAACACTCACTTAAATGCATTTACTCCAACTATATATTTATTATAAGTCCACTTATTTCTAGTTTTATGATTTATCTACATATTCAGCTTCTCTACGCCCAATACGAAAAAGATGTGGAGAGTTTTTATTTTTTTTTAAGTTTTTTATGATTTCGGTTCTTTTTGTTTATTTATTTTTCAATGTTAAGTCCATTCCATTCCATTCACTTCACATCCTATTCAAATTTATCGTAACTGTGAAACACTTTATTCAGCCATCAGAGCACTGACAAACATAACAATCATATCTTATAATTCTTATTCTCAACGTTAAACTTTACAGAATAACCAAACCTGTTCCATTGTAAAGTAGCATTCCCAGAAATCATTCAAGATTCCCTTCTTTCCACAACTTCATCATCAACATCATCATGTCCTTAAACGTCTTCACCTTTTTCCTCTTTGTCTTCTTCACACCCATTACTTGAAACCCTCACATCACAATGCCCCTGTTTTGCTAAACTCATGCAATGATCTTCCCACTGTGAAAAAAGCCCATGCCTTTCTCATTGTCTCTAATGCATTGGTGTGCAGTACCAATTCCACTGCTTCAAAGATCCTCACCTTGTATGCACAGTTTCATGACCTTGACAGTGTCCTTGGTGTGTTCAAAACAATGTTAGAGGATAAACCCAATACAACAATGTGGAATTTGGTTATAAGATCCCACGTTGATTTGGGACTATTCCATTCAGCTTTGTCAATTTACAAAAAGATGAGACAAATGGGTGTTACTCATGATACTTTTACTTTTCCAATAGTAAACCGAGCCTTATCATCCATCAGGATAGATGCTGTGTATGGAAAAATGATCCATTGTGTCGCAGTTCAAATGGGTTTGGATGTGGATTTGTATTTTTGTAATACCATGATTGATGTTTATGTGAAATGTGGGTGCATTGGTTACGCTCGCCAATTGTTTGATGTAATGTTGTACAGAGATGTGGTTTCATTGACGCTGATGATTGCTGGATATATTTATGAGAGACATGTTAGAGTGGCTTTTGATTTGTTCAACAAGATGAGGATGGAATTGGAACCGAATTCGGTTACTCTTATTGTAATGTTGCAGCCATGTTGTGCTTCCACAACATTGAACATGGGAACTCAAATTCATGGGTATGCAGTGAAGAGTGGATTACTAATGGATTGGACAGTGAAAAATTCAGTTTTGAGAATGTATGCTAATAAAGGGAGCGCTGAAGAAGTTGAACTTTTATTTTGTGAAATGAACAGAATGGATGTGGCTTCCTGGAATATTTTAATTTCCTTTTATTCCTCGGAAGGAGACACGATGAGAGTGGCTGGTTTGTTCAACGAAATGAAGAGCCTAGAAGTGCATTTGTGGAACATTGAGACCTTAACGCTAGTTATATCAGCATTTGCAAAGTCTGGTAGTCTTTCTGAAGGTGAAGGAATGCACTGCTTAGTCATAAAATCAGGGTCTTCTGATGATGTTTTGCTGACTTCTCTTCTTGACTTTTATGCCAAGTGTGGGAAATTGGAAATATCAGTTCAACTGTTAAGAGAAATTCATTTTAAAAGTAACATCACTTGGGGTGCTATGATGTCAGGTTTCATTCAAAATGGTTCATTTATGGAGGCCATAGTTTTATTCCAACAAATGCAAGCTGAAAATCTTGATATTGTCCCTGAAATTTGGAGAAATCTACTTGATGTATATGCGAACCTGGGAGTTCTGAAATTGGGCAAAATGGTCCATGGTTATCTTATAAAGAACTTGTTCAATGGACCTGTAGAAGGTACTGTACAACTGGAGACTTCTATCTTAAACATGTACATAAGAGGTGGTAGCATGTCTTCTGCTAGAGCATGTTTTGATAGGATGCCTGTCAAAGATGTTGTAGCATGGACAACAATGATTGAGGGACTTGGCTCCCATGGTTTTGGTTTTGAATCCCTTACGTATTTTAGTTTAATGATGGAACAAAAAGTGCAGCCGAACACCGTCACCTTCTTGAGCTTACTTTCTGCTTGTAGCCACTCTGGTCTTGTCAGTGAAGGCTGCAATATTTACTATTCTATGAAATGGGGTTTTGGTATTGAACCAGCTTTGGATCACCATACTTGCATTGTGGATCTTTTTGGTCGATGCGGAATGCTTAAAGAGGCCTTAGCCATAATATTGAAAATGATAATTCTACCTGATAGCAAGATTTGGGGTGCTCTTCTATCAGCTTCCAGAGTTTATGGAAATAAAAAATTTGGAGAATATGCAGCACAAAGACTTTTGGAACTAGAACCTGATAATGCAGGATACTATACTCTTTTGAGTAATGTAAAAGCAAGTGTTGGAAGATGGAATGAGGTTGAAGAATTAAGGAGAGTTATGAGTAAAATGGATCTCAAGAAGAAACCAGGGTGGAGCTGCATTGAGGTAAAAGGGGTCATCCATGGATTTCTTTCTGGAGATATATCACACCCTGAAGCAGAGGAGATTTATGAGGCATTGGGTAGATTGAGTAGAGTAACACAGGATTTTGGATAACATGTTTTAAGCAGTTCTAAAGGGCATTTAAATCTACTTCTTGGCTCATACCAGCACATTCAAACCAGTGTCAGGCAAAGCACTGCAAAGCCAAATCCTAGTTCTTCAGCGAAGAAAATTGAACAATTTGTGATTGTTTCTGTCCTTTTTTTTCCAGTAGTTACTAGAATATATCTTGATATTCGATTTCAATATTAGTTCTCACCTGTTTCTATTACTTCTATCCATGTATTCTGAATTTAGGATTAACAATTTGTTGCAGGAAATCATATATGGTTTCCTACATGTCCTTCCCCCATTTTTAAATGAGTGATATACTATTAAGTTCTGCTTCCCTGAAGAGAGTAAGTGATAATAATATGCTGTTTCATAAGTTAGTTTGTATCTTTTAATTTACACACCCTCCATTTAATACAAAATTTCGTCTGGTCAAGCATTATTGTAGCATCCATTCTAGCTGCTTAAATGTGTTGCTTTCTGTTAAAAAAATATAATATAAAATTTTTAATATAACATTAAACTTTTGGATTGAATTGAAGCTCGATATGAACCCTGCAATGAACACATAGTAGCATATGCATGGTGCGTGAAGCATATAGCATGACCATGCACAGATAGTTGTAACGAATAGGAGACATGCAGTTAGTATGGATAGTTGCAACTGTTAGGTGTAATACTTGACCGCTTTTGACTTTTGTTTTTTTGAGAAGTTAAAATTTTTAGTTTTGAAAAAAGTAAGTTTTTGACTTTTTTTATGACTTTTGCTTTTTTTAGAAGTAGTATCCAAATGCACTTTAAACTAAAAGTGCTTTTTTTTGAAAAAAAAAAAATTTCTGACTGAAAAAAAACTCATCTAAACGGGCCCTTAATCCATGAAGGAAGAAGCTTTCCACACGCCACGGCATCCATTTTTCAAAGCTTTGACGTATACATTTTTATTTTATTTTATTTTTTCATTTTCGTTGAAATTAAACTTTGATTCATACTTTAATTTAATCCTTCTCATATCTTGATATGTACTCTGATGTAATATGTTTGAAAAAAAATTGTAACTTTTATATATATATATATGAGGTAGGATCCTTAGACACCAGTGTCAAAATTCAAATTTGACACCTCATCTGAGAGCCGTTAGATCAAAAAAGATCAACGACTCTGATTTGCAAGCATATGACAACATTGATCTTTTTTTATCTAACGGATCTCAGATGAGGTGTCAAATTTAAATTTTGACACTAGTGTCAAAGGATCTATATATATATATATATATATATATATATATATATATATATATATATATATATATATATATATATATATATATATATATATATTTATATATATATATATATATATATATATATATATATATATATATATATATATATATATATATATATATATATATATATATATATATATATATATATATACACCATTGATATTTGATTGGAAAAAAAATAAATAAAAATAAAAAATGATCTATACGTCAGATGAGGTGTCAAACTTCAAATTTGACACCGATGTCAAAGGATCTTATATATATATATATATATATATATATATATATATATATATATAGGTAAGGTGTCAGAAATTTAAATTTGACACCTTTTCAAAAAAAATGTTGTATATATTTGCAAAGTAAAAATTTAGTTTCCAAAGTGCATTTGAGGTACAAATTTGAATTTTAAAAAGCAAAACCTCATATATATATATAAAAGTTACAATTTTTTTTCAAACATATTACATAGAGTACATATCAAGATATGAGAAGGAAAATTAAAGTATGAATCAAAGTTTAATTTCAACAAAAAATAAAAAATAAAATAAAATAAAAATGTAACGTCAAAGCTTTGAAAATGAAAATGTTATGTGGAGCACTTTTAGAATAGAGGTTTTGGATGAGTTTTTCAGTCAGAAATTATTTTTTTTTTCAAAAAAAGTAGTTTAAAGTGCATTTGGATACTACTTCTAGAAAAAAAGCAAAATAAAAAAGTCCAAAAATTTCCTTTTTTCAAAACTGTAATACTTAGAAAAACAAAAGTGAGTTTTTTTTTTCATGAAACAATTGTTTTTAAAAAAACCTAAATAGTCTTAACCATTTATAAGAATAAAAACGTAAGACATGGTTTGTTTTTAAAAGTGAATCCAAACACAACCTGTAAAGTAATACTTCAGTGAGTTGCTTTCTACATCAAGTATTACATCCTAACAGTTGTTTATTCTCCCAACTACATCAAGTATTACACCTAACAGTTGCAACTATAGTTGCTGACTCATGTCTCCTATTCGTTACAAACTATCTGTGCATGGTCATGCTATGCTTCACGCACCATGCATATGCTACTATGTGTCATTGCAGGGTTCATATGGAGCTCCAATTCAATCCAAAAGTTTAATGTTATATTAAAAATTTTATATTATATTTTTTTAACAGAAAGCAACACATTTAAGCAGCTAGAATGGATACTACAATAATATTTGACCAAGACGAAATTTTGTATTAAATGGAGGGTGTGTAAATTAAAACAACTAACTTAGTGAAACAGCATATTTGTATCACTTACTCTCTTCAGGGAAGCAGAAACTTAATAGTATATCACTCATTTAAAAATCAGGACATGTAGGAAACCATATATGATTTCCTGCAACAAATTGTTAATCCTAAATTCAGAATACATGGATATTGAGATAAAACAGGTGAGACTAATATTGAAATCAAATATCAATATATTCTAGTAACTACTGGAAAAAAAAGGACAGAAACAATCACAAATTGTTCATTTTTCTTCGCTGAAGGACTAGGATTTGGCTTTGCAGTGCTTTGCCTGACACTGGTTTGGTATGAGCCAAGATAAATTTAAATGCCTTTCAACTGCTTAAAAACATGTTATCCAAAAATCCTGTGTTACTCTGCCTCAATCTCCCCCAATGCCTCATAAATTGCTGTACTTCAGGGTGTGATATATCTTCCAAAAGAAATCCATGGATGACCCCTTTGTCAATGCAGCTGGCCTAGTTTCTGTCTTGAGATCCATTTTTACTCATAACTCTCCTTTAAATTATTTCTTCAACCTCATTCCAGAGTACTTTTCCAACACTTCCTTTTACATTACTCAAAAGAGTATATTATCCTGCATTATAGGTATAACCTCTTTGTGCTGCATATTCTGCCAAATTTTTTATTTCCATAACTTCTGGAAGCTGATAGAAGAGCGCCCAATCTTTGTCAATTTATCATTTTCAATATTATGGCTAGGCCTCTTTAAGCATTCGGCACCATCGACCAAAAAGTCCGCAATGCAAGGTGTGGTGATCCAAAGCTGGTTCGATACCAGAAACCCATTTCCATAGAATAATAGATCTTGCAGCCTTCACTGACAAGACCAAGTGGCTACAAGCAGGAAAGTAAGCTGGAGAAGGTACGGTGTTCGGCTGCACTTTGTTCATCATTAAGAAACTGAAATTGGTAGAGGGATTCAAAACCAAAAACCATGGGAGCCAGTGCCTTTCTGTTGCCATGCTACAACATCTTTGACGGCATCCTATCAAAACATGCTCTAGCAGAGGCGTGCCACCTCTTATGTACATATTTAATCCAAAGTCTCCGTACCTTCTACAAGACATTGCCATTGAACAAGTATTTATAGGGATTAAGACCGCAATACTAAGGTA